GTTTAGGGATTTAGGGTTTGGGGTTTAGGGGTTTAGGGATTTAGGGTTTAGGGTTTAGGGTAGTGTTTGGGGTTTTTCGGTGTCAGTACGGCCTTCCTCAAGCTCAGGGTTTTCATGCGTTCAAGCATCGGCGGTTGTGCATTAATACTTGGAGGATCATGGGACTTAGTAAGGTTCCTTAAAGGGCTCCTTAAAGGGATCTATAGGGTTCCTTACAAGGGGATCTATAGGGTTTAGGGTTTACTTGGAGGATCATGCGACTTAGTAAGTAAGGTTATAAGTAAGTAACTTAGCGGGGTTGTAAGTAGTTATATATAGTTACCCTAATAATAACCTTAGTTACTAAGTCCCATGGTCCTTTAAGTAATTACATACATAGGGTGTTGGGTCTAGATGTCACGCCTAACGGTTTCAGACTTCCCGGGTTTCGGCCTTCAGTCTTGCGAAGTCTTGGTTTAAACTCGCAACTTTCAGGTGAGGCTTTCATAAGATTCATGGCTGATCCTGGAGTGTAGAGCACATCATCGAATCTTCACGAACAGCCCCGGTCTTGGAAGCCAAACCCTTCAGATTTCTAGAACCTAAACCCTTAATCCCAAACTCTCAAGATCCCTATAGACTCTAGACCCGAAGGCCTAAATCCCAGACCCCTACTCTAAAGATCCCTACCCTAAACCCTAAACCCTAAACCCTCCCTAATTCCTACACCCTAATCTCAGGCTCCTGCACCCGCGCAGTCAGATCCCAAACCTTGGCCCCCAAAGCCCGAACCCCTCAACCAGAAAGCCCATGACCCCTTTCGGAGCCTTAGGGTAAACCCTCAATGCCCAGCTCTTGAGATCCCTAGACCCCATAAGCCCTAAATCCCGAACTCTTATTCTTAAGATCCCGAAACCCTACACCCTAAACCCTATAAATCCCAAACCCTCTTGAGATCCCTGAGCCGTCAAGCCTTGAGAGGCCTGGGAGCCTGCTGCCCGGGCGCGGCACAACCTTTGGCGTCTCTTTTTCGGCAAGGCGTGGACCTGCTAAGGCTCCATGTACAGTACTTCCACGTTCCCTAAGGGTTCGTTTAGGGGATCTACAGGTTCCCTTAAAGGGTTCTGTGAGGGTTACGGGTTCCTTTGAGGGTTCCATAAGGCTTTCTTTGAGGGTTCTAGAGCGTTTTGGGCTTAAGACTCCATGTACCATACTCAGGCCTCAAGGGTCCTCATGTAGGTGCTTTAGTATATACCATATAATATGTACATGGGGCCATCGAGGGGCAAGGAGCAGAGCTTAGTAAGACAACATGTTCTATGCTGCTGAACCCTAAGTCCGCTGAACCCTGAACCTTGCGTTCGAACTCTCGCAAGTACACGTTCCGTGGAAATCTTCGGGGGCACTGGGGTACGGCCTCCCAGTGCAAGGTTTTAAGGGTTTTGTCTCCAGGAGCCCGAACTTATTCATGCTGCAGGTAGGTGCACTGGGACAGCATCTAAATCAATCCGAGCTGTTAAACGCAGCACCCAAAAACAGTACGCTAGTTATGCGTCAGCCATGCGACAGTCTGTTACCTCAGCAGGCGAAACTTGAAGCAACCTGGGCGTAGCAGAGCGTATAGGCTTTCGAAGGCGAAATGCACTAACAAGTCCAGGACGCAAGGCCTAGGGTTCCGCACTCTGTAGAACGAGAGTCAGAATTAATGTCGAGGTGCTCAATGCGACAGTTTTCATCGCGCTGAACGCCGCTTGTCGTGACCGTAGTGCGGAAGTAGGTCGTGTGACGTTTGGGCTTCTTGAACTCATTCCATCGCCGGACAATTCAGGGCGGGTTCGGCAGGTTACCCGACTGATTTCACACAAATGGAAACCACCCGTGTTTTGGGGAATCCCTTTGTGATGCTCCTGCACAACTCACCTCATGGTCTCAAAGGTTTCGGATAGTTAGATAGTTAGATCCTTCTGTTCCTGCGAGCTACCGTCGACTCACAAGGCAGATTGATTCTGCAGCTATATAGACACCACGGAGAGCTTTACGGGGTTCCAATTCAACATTGATGGAGGTTTGAGTAACTCAATTCAACCAGTAGCACACTCCCCTGATTGCCCTTGGTCGTTAGAACCAAAATCGTCTAAACCCTATTCTAATTATTGAGGCCCTTATATAGAACCAACACAGTCTGCGAAGCTAGCTTGTCGCCTCGAGGCTATGGTGTAGACCGTGATCTTCTGATTGTCATAGCAGCTTGAACATGTTTAGATTTAGGGTTTATAGCGCTTACATGGTTTATAGCACTTACATGAATACCATCAAGGGAAGCCGACCCTGAAACTCCCCGAGACAATAGGAAGCTTGAACCATCGAGTAGCAAACGCAGCAAAACCTTTGCACGAGCTCGTAGAATTCCTAAAACTACCCTAAAGGCCTTACAAACCCTTCGCAGGCCTTATACCTGCCCTTGCGAAATCCTAACGCTGATACCACCTCAAACCCCAAATCCCTAACCCGAAACTTTAAAGCTTGAACCCTAAACCCTGATAAACCCTGATCCCCAAACACCCCATCCTGAAACCTTATACAAACCGTAAAACCCTTATACACCCTGAAAGCTTGATCTATCCTGAACCTCAATTTCAAAACCGCTGAACCCTGAACCCTAAAGCATGAAACACCCGTCAGCCGAGGTTGAGCTGCTGAACGACAAGCCCATGTTGCTGAAGAATCGGGCACGCGGCTACAGTGCAGGGGGTTTAGGGGCTTTATCGATCTAGGGTTTATGGTTTAGGGGCTTAAGGGGTTTAGGGGCTTAGAGTGGTTTAGGGTTTAGGGGTTCAGGGTTTAGGATTTACGGGTTATAGGGTTCAGAGTGATGAGGGGGTCGCAAACTGCGAACTGGGCTGCGGGTTACCTGAACCCCCAAACTGGATCAAACTGGCTAGTTCTTGCTTACTGCAACGAAGTGTAGTCTTTGCAAAGCTAGAATCCTACTAGCGGCACCAATGTCACAATGTCCTATCTTGTTTGGACTGAGTGTTCCGAACTGGCATGAACTCGGGTGCTTCTTGTGATGAGCTCCCTGAATCAAGATCCCCAGTGAAAATGCCAAGAGATCTCAAGGGTGGGATCCAATTAATACTTCGACCGGTTCCACCAGATAGGCAACCTTGCGAAGTTTGTTGGTGATTGCCAACGGTTCCCTGGTGAAGAAGTTTAGGGCAGGTGCAGGGTGCTGATAAGCATCGCGATAGCGAGATACAGCCAGGACTGTCGCCTACCGTGACACTATAACCCCAAACCCTAAACTCTTAACCCCTAAACCCCAAACCCTAAACCCATTAGGCAAAGTCGTAGCTACGGCAAGAGCAGTAGTTGGCAAGACAGCTGAAAGACTCGATATGGGGGTTTCCGAAAATAGGGGACCCGAAACTAGTACACTTAATAGTAGGATCCTGATTATAAAGACGCCAAACTACGGTACCCCTATTTTTCGGAAACTCCCATATCATCATCAAGCACGCAATCGCAGTGATACAGCTACTAGTGATGTCTGTTTCGGAAAGCCAATACACGCCTGACCTTCAGTGACTCACAACAATCTATATAGTTGCGCTTGTGGCGGCTCAGCTCTTGGATCCTTTGTACGTTCATCGTTGTTGCTGCAATTGAGTTTTTGCGGCCTCACACCCTGGCTTACACCGTGCAGGGTTCGGGTTTCTGTTCGAGCTTCAAGAACTTTCATTCCAGTGCATGCGCAAACGCAGTTCCTCGCCGCACGCGACTGCGTCAACTTCGTTTGTGCCGAGGAGCGATTCGTTGTGATCCACCTATAGTCTCCATTGTAGTTCCTTTTTTTGGTTGACCAGTATTATGGTTAGGATCCTATAATAGAGATTTTGGTTAACCAAAAAAAGGAACTACAATGGAGACTATAGGCAGGGTTTAGGGTTGTCGCCGTTTAGCGGATGAAGGCCCCAACGTAGCAACCCGGAACCAAGCATCAATGATTTCGGGTTCCTAAACCCCATTGTAAAGCCTAACAGGTTTCAAGCCTCTATTCAGGATCAGTTTCTTCCGGCTTTGAACTATAACCTCGTTAACATGTACTTGACGAGTCCCGACTGTCAGATTCCAGATGGGGCTTGTGCCGAGGGATTTAAATCATAGGGTTTACGTTTTAGGTTCTGAGTATAGTACCCGAATACCCCTAATCCATGTACATAACCCTAAGCCTGAGACTAGTAAATCCGTGAAGTTGGCTCGGGCATCACGTGATAGGCTGCAGGTGCACCCCAACCCGATCAACACACCAGCCTCTCTCAACCCGAAGCTAAACCCTAAACTCCCCTTACTCCCGATCTCTCTACCCCTGAAAACGATCTTTCGCTTCTAAGCTTCGAACCCAGAATCTTCTTGTGTCTCCGTTGACACCAGCTGGAAAACCAAAAATCCCTATATAACCCTGACTGCCCGTAGATCCGAAGCCCTAACCCAAAACCCTTAAGGCCCAAATCCGTAGATCCCCATGTGGTCCCAACTCGCCTATTAAAGCTGATACAGCCCTTCCATAGAAGGGCTCTATGAAGGTAATGTCTAAGTGAAAGCATCAGTGCACCTTCTGGAAGCATTGCACCTCCTACAAAAGACAATCACGCTCCTTCTCTTTCCACGTTATCAACTCGTGCCACAGGACCAGGCTGGCATGCAGGTGGTCAGCCTCACGAACTCGGAGCATCCTCGGCTCGCTTGTAGGGTTAACCTATAGGTTTTTGAAGCGAAAGCACTCTGTTTCTGATAAGGATTGATAATGTCGGATTGCGGATTCTGTTCTCGGCCATTTGCAGCTTGTTGTGGCTTAACGGCGCGCCATGTTCCGTACAGTGCACCACTCAAAGGCACTGACTTTGCAGAAGTCGTTCGATCGCGCATGGTTAGCAAGGTGTCTGTAACCAGCATTGAGGCCAGAGTAGCAGAGTCCACATTCGTGCCGCGGTTCGCTATAGGCCTGATAGCCGCCGCAGATGGCCGAGGAGCCGCAGATAAACTGCTGGGAGGATTTCAGAGACTACGTGGTTCGCAGCGACATCCGCTTTGTGCGGCCAGACTACATCCTCCGTCTCCATGCGGAGGGGCGCGTTTTTCCACGCCGGCAGGAGGCAGAGGCGGAGGAAGGAGCCCTGTTCCAGCTCGATCCCGCCACACAGGCTGGAGACTTCAAGTATGTCGCCGTCTCGCACTGCTGGGAGTCGCGCGAGCATCCTGACCCGCACGGTTTCCAACTGAAACTCCTTTCAGCCTGGATTTGGATTTGCTCCCACCCGGAGCAGACTGGAATTACCCGTGGCAGCCGTGCTCATGAGTCCCAGGAGGTTGTTTTTTTCATTGACTATGTATCCCTTTACCAGTTCGGCAACAGAACCGAGACCCAGGATGCAAGCTTTCGCCGCAGCATTGAGCACATGCACTTGCTCTATGCCAACTCGAGTGCAGACTTCTGCCAAGGTGTACTGAGCATCTCGCGCCTCACGCCGTGGTGGTGGAAGATCGATCGCAGCAAGGCCATACCGGTATTTAGCAATCCTGCTGGGTGTGTTCAGGAAGTGCCACTCGCAAATCTTCGGCCGACAACTGGGGGAAGATGTAGTGAGCAGTGTGATGCTTCGTTCGCGAACTTGCACGCGAACCCAACGCCATACTGGCATCGCGGATGGTGCCGTGCAGAAGTGGAATGGGCATCGCCTGCGATCCAGGATATTTCTTACTGCATTCTGTCTAGATGGGGCTCCAGGATGCTGCCCCCCATGTATTTGGGAGTCGTTTTTCTTTCGCCGGGGTTTCATACATGGGCTGGTCTGTATGGTGCGTTCGGCCTGCAGTGCCTGCTGATATCAGTCCTGATATGTCTACAGGATGTGCACGTGCTCCGCAACCCAGGCACCAATGGCTCTTGGTCACGATCCAGACTGCCCCTCTCGGCAGAAGAATTTCAAGAGCAAGTGCGAACCAGGGGCGTTGCCTTCACTCATCGGTCTGATGTCAGCCAAGTGGTTTCCTTGCAGGAGATGGTTTACAGACAGAAGCTGGCCGCGACCAAGAGATTGTCCTTGACTCGGCTGGCTCGTGGTGACAGGCACAAACTGCCAGGCATTTTGTTGAACAACCCTCTGCTGACAGAATTGGCGCTGAGCGCCACCTTCTTGACCGAGGCCGACATGGAAGCTTTGGCCGCCGTGCTATGCACGAAGGAGCTTGAGACTCTGCAGTTGGAGACTGTGCCTCTCTGTTCTCGCTCCTTTCGGCATTTGTGCAGCGCGCTTCGGCCGCAGCTCCGAGTCCTTGCTCTGTCTTGGTGCAGCCTTGGGGACCAGCAGATGCCGCTGCTTGCAGAAAGCCTTGGCGCACTACCTTTAGAGGAGCTCGTTCTCAGCTACAACAGAATTAGCAGCAAAGGAGCAGCGACTTTGGCTAGCGCCCTGCGTTCGCATCCTACGCTCAAATGTTTGGATTTGAGTGGGAATCGTCTAGGGCACGTGGGTGCCACCGCTGTTGCAGAATCGCTGATGCCAAACCCCGCCATGGAAAAGCTGGTTCTGAAAGGCACTGGGGTCCGGCTTAGTGGACTGCATCACAGACTCAGACCGCACCAAGAGATCCAGGTCACGCGCCGCATTTTCGGATTGGTAGCCTTCGTCTCTCTCGTCGTTTGGATTTTCATTATGTGTTGGGCCCCTTCGACGGCGATGCTCGTCATCCCACCATGGGCCCTAGCCACTATACTGTACGTATGTTGTCCCTCCTTACCCTCATTGTTTGACTGGTATGTGGACTTCACGGTATACATATACACTTTGGAGGCCCAGTCAAAACTTGCAGACTGGAGCCTGCTTTTTCATGACCGGCTGGAGTCTTCCTGGGCGAAAGCAGGCGAAGTCCAGGAGAGCAGCTCTACGCCCCTCCTTTCGGGCTCTTGCTGTTAGCGGCGTCTCCACTTAAAGGATCATGGGACTTATAGTAACTGAGGTTATTATTAGGGTAACTATATTTACAGCAACTTATAACCCCAATTCAGGTACGTATAACCTTAACTACTAAGTCCCATGATCCTCCAAGCAGACTGAAGAATGGTATAGCAGCGGTTAGGAATGAAAGTGGTCTGCAAGCGGAGCGCCGAAATCCCAGGGACGTGAGTGCAGGCTGCACGGTTCAGCATCTGGGGGAATGCTGAGAGAGTTCGTGCATGCCAACATTTCCTCAAACTGAAGATCTCCTCTGAGCTACCGCCTGCAAGGGAAACAAGGGCCAGGGAATCTGCTTTGAAACGCAAGCCATGCAGACATGCGCGAACTCTGTAAAGGGTGTTTCTTCACGGCGTCTACTTCTGGTGCTGTCATCGAAGGAATGTAACGCAACCCCCAAAGTAATAGCCCCCTTCTTCAACGGCCATTTTCTTAGAACCTCTATCCCTTAGGCCTTGGCTTTTACCCTGCGCCTTGAACCTTAGAAGCCCCATTAACGGATTTCTGGCTCATCAATGTGGAACCTGCAGATTGCTGTTGCTATTCTTCTTACATATGTGCACTGTTGCAGGCATGCATGTGCATGGGCACCTGCCTCAACCATGCTCGCGACAGGCTCGCGTTCTCCATGCTGAAGCCCTTCACCAAGCTCGTTCGTGCGCGGAGCTTACACAACAGGCAGCCACCAGGCAGCCACAAGCAACGAACTCTACCCAAACCATCCCAAACCGCTAGACCCTGAACTTGCTTGATTAATTGTCACATGCCAGTAGAACATCAAGAGCAAAAAACACATAAACATAATCTTTCGGTATTGGGACGACATAGCAGGGACAGGTAGCCAGAAGGCAGGCCCCCGCCAGTTTACAGGTCATGGGTGCTTTGCGGGAAACGGATAGATCGCAGCTTCGGAATAGTAGCATATTCCACTCGCGAGGAGAGGTTGTAACAAACAGGCCTTATAATACAGTCGGTGCAAGTGAACTTCCTTTATATGGAAGTGCTTTTGCGGTGTTTTGGCGACCCAAACAATTTCCTGAAGCCCGCGGACATCCCCGCACGAAGCCCGCGCGTCCCGAGCCAAAAAGTTTGATATTTTTTGGGGGGGAAGCCTACTTAAAGTGTCTTAGGCACCGATGCCTCCGGACGGAAATTTCCCGGCATCCCGGGAGAATCTCAACAGCGTTGTTCAGCACTAGGTCTTTCCATCGCACGTTGCAACAGAGCTGGTGGGAGGTGTTTAACCTTAGAGGTAACTGTATGCATGAAGGTGGATTCAGTTCTCGCTTGTAACCTTGCCCTTGACCTGTGCACACTGCTCATCCAGGTGCCCTTGTTACCTTCACTTGTTGGTTTCTGTGTTGATGTCTTGCCGACTCGTCCCGAAACCAACATTTATTCGTTTATGTAGGTTTTGTTTGCCCCTAGAAGAAGCCTGAGCGGAAGCTCAAAGCACCAAACTTATAGCAACTAACCCTATGCCGCAAGCGTTGATCCTGAACCAATCCTTCGGTACTTTTTCCTACCCATTGTCATGTCCGACTTCTGTTATAATCTCAGCTCTGGCTTCAATTCTTCTAACAGTTCCTCATGCCCAGATCTTGAGAGTTGTCTCGCAACCTAGAGCCAAAACCTCAGCCTCCAAATCCGTGAAGGTGGAAACCCTGAAGAAAATCCTACCCCACAAAGTCAACCAGGCAGCTTTCCTTCACTTCTCCGGGGTCTCGCGCTTGCTTACCTGCAAGAAGCGCACGGCCGCCCCGGCGAAGTTGAGAAACTTTGAACATCGGCATACCCCTTATGAACTTGCAGCTTAGACCAGCATCATACATCCATTCTCTGCGCTCCCTTTACCCTAGAATTAAACCCTAAGCCATCCGGTGCAGCACCAAACATGACTCAGGGTCTTTCGAATGTTCGGCTGAGGATCTGGGTCCAGGGCCACGGATCCGAAACTCTAAACCCTAAACCCTAAGCCCTCCACCCACAGGCCCCAAAGTCGTTCTTTTTTGGGATTACCTTATAGGATTCTAGATATGAACCACAAAGAGGAACTGCTATGGGGCCTTAGGGTAGGTTCTAAACCCTGAACCCTAAACTCTAAATCCCACCGAAACCCTACTCCGCTGATTTAGGAGTTTAGGGACTCTGGGACCTGAAGACCACCGCATCACCGACAATTGCTCAGAAGCATTGTAGACCCCCGGGAGGATCATGGGACGTAGTAGGGTTCCCTAACGGGCTTCTTTTAAGGGATCCTGTCGGGTTTGGGGTTTAGGGATCTATAAGGGCAAGTAGATCCCCTAATTTGGGGCCCTGTGCTACTAAGGGTACTTGATAGGAACCCCCATTAAGGGATCTACTTTTTGGATCCTCCCGGGGTCTGTGTTGGGGCGAAGAGACTTAAACGATGAGCCCCCAAAAGAAACTGCTTGCAGGTACTGCGAACATGCACACTCGGCGGTCGAAGGGCCAGTTCATCCTTAATTTTGATGGCACTGCTCGTGATGTCCCTGATGATGCCTGCACTCTCTTGAGGGGTTCTGGGTTTAAGGGACTCCTTATCTGCAAGAAGAATGTGTAGAGTGTAGCTTCGGAGATCTGGTGTTGCTGTTTCACAGGGTTCGGTCACCCTTTGACGCTCCAAATCAACAAATCAGAAGGTTCTGGGAACCCAAAACCCAACACCCTACGCACACCCACCCAAAAACCCTAGCATGGTTTATACTCTGAACCTTCACCACAGACCCCGAAACCTTCGAAGAATAAGACCCTGAGCCCTCGAACCACGAATCCTGAGCTAGGTGCCTGCATCGATTTGGGATAGTTTTTAAATTGCCTGATTGCTTGATATAGAGCACTAAATACCTGGAAACTCCGTTGCGGCAAAAATTTCCGCCACAATAGGGTTGCGGCGCCGGAACGCAATCGGAGGCGGAAAGACATGTCTGACGGCAGAAACCTAAATCCAGCAGTATACAGCACATCAGTTGCGGCAGAATTGTAATTTCGGCGGCGTTTTTGTTTTTCACGAACGAATTTTGGTTTTGCTGCCAGCGCGCAGCTCCATGTTCTTATGGTCGAACGTTCCCGCAGTGACATGGTGCTGGCCGGCCGGTTTAGACTGTATAAGGACATGAAAACTGCATAAACCGAGGTATGTTCATAGCAGACTGAAACACCAAGTTTGTAACTTGCGCCTATAACTTGCTTTCGGGTGCAAGAGTGCAGTTATCTCATGTTTTATGTTCTTTATATCATTGCGACGATTTTCGTTGAAAACCATGTGGATGCTGTTCGTGCTTCGTTGCAACGATAGAGTGTTACGAAGCACGGTGTGGTTGATTTCGAGGTTGTTTCAGCATGTAGGATGTCTAAGGACCGGGATGGATTTGGCTTCTGTCTTGCATGGCGTCAATTTTACAAATCTTTCGGTGCAGCCCAAGCCCACACCCCCGAGTTGATTGCGGAAGTGCAAAAAGTGGAAACAACATTTATGTGATGCGAGAATTTCCAAAGTTGAAAACAAGAGAACTTTAACTGGGCCGTTTTTGGTAAGCAGAACTGGCGATGAGGGATGAGCCTAATATCGGGCTAAGGTGCTTAATTGCACGCCCATCAGATAATGCAGACCTAGTGTGGCTCGAGCTCACCTTGTGGTTTCAACAACAGGCGTAGTACAGACATGCCGACGTGCAGCTCCAGATCTGGCTTTAAGACAAGATGCGGAAGTACGGGTCTCAGCAGGACCTAATTGCTAAACGCTTGCCCCAGTAGAAAGACCGTGATAAAGACGAAATAATTATCTAAAGCTGCAGCAACAGCCGGTCCGAGGGACATGATGGATTTTCTTTGCGGCAGTTATTTGGGACGGACATTGTTGTGCTTCTTTGCGAACAACTTCATTTCCTCCGGAGGCACACTTAACAACCAGCTTCGGGTAGAAAGTGTGTATTTTCGAGTTTCTCTAGTATAGGATTTAACTGATGGCGTTTAGGGTTGGGGGCGTGATTCCCGCTTCAGGTTGGGTTTGGAGCTTGTGCTGGTTTGAATTTTTATCTCTTTTTTGGAGTTCAAACCAGGTTTTAATGAGGGAACTTGGAGTTGCAAGCGGTTCCTCGACTCCATGGAAGCCAACATGCAGAAACACATTTATGCAGTCATGAACCAGCCAGTTAATCAGCAGCGACGTGCTAGCCTCCTGGCACAAAATTCCAATGCCCAGCACTCGACTATCCAGGTGTTGCATCATGAACACACCCTCGAGCCCGGATGGGTGGACGAAATTGCAAAAAATGCTTGTGCAGGTGGGTCAATTCTGTACATGTTAGTGGAAGGGTGTCCGCGTCTTTCCGCCGCAATGTCGGGAGTTTCTGCCGCAATGACGGGGTTTTCCGCCTCAATTCCGGGATGCACAAAACCCGCAAGAACACATCTAGACTTTGTTCGGGAATCAAGCTTCACTCCTCGTTACTACTAGCAACAGCACTGGCCAAGGACGAGCACGGTCTGTTCTCAGTCTCAACAGGTTTTTGGTGCGAGCGTGCGAAAATGCAACGAGGAGCTCTGTTGAGACTTGCATCCCCCCCACATCATTTCGCCGAACGACCTTTGCCAAAACAGGTCTGAAGGATGTTGGAACTGAGAGCACAGCATGTTCGTTTTGGGCCAGTGTTGTCGCCAGAACACTGGGTGAGCGAGAATTGTGACTCCAAAACACTTTTGGATGCGATTTATGATGGTTTTTGTGCCCCAAAATTGCGGCGGAAACTCCCGACATTGCGGCGAAAACTCCCGACATTGCGGCGGAAAGATGCGGACACCCTTCCGGTAACAAGTGTGCCGATGGGTTTCAGAAGCTTCTTGTTGCAATTTCGTCCATGCATCCGGATTTGAAAGCCATGCAGCATCATGCATCATCGGGATAGTCTTGTGCTGGGCACCGAAAATATAGCACAGTG